CCGTCCTTGGGCCCCACTCTTCGGGCCCAGTTGCGCCAGCCTTGGGTCTCTTTGGGGCTCGTTTGGGGACTCATCTGGAGCCGTCTTGGAGGCATCTAGACGCCTCAAGAGATAATCGGAAGCGACAACAGGAAGCGGAACAACTAAACAACAGGAGCGCCATCTGCAAGAAGCCGGCAGCCCAGCAGCGCGCATACCGAAAATAGCAAGGGGAAGAAAAGCAGGAAGAAGTAGAGGAAAGGGAGAGGAGAAGGAAACGGAAAGAGGACAAGGAGGGAAGAGCAGAAAGAGGATGAAGATGAAGAGGAGAAAGAGGGGGAAGGAACATGTGGAGGAAGAGCAAGAGGAGGAGGATGCCTTGCTTCATGCTACCCCAACCAGTCGCCTGAGACTTACTCGCGCCTCTGGGCACCTGGCGTTGTCAAATCGCTCCCCCTTGGGAGATCCTGACCCACTCCGACTTGGCGGTGGCCGGCCCCATGTCCACGCGCGCGCACGCCGCCTGCATTCGAACTCACAAGGAACAAGGTGCATGGCGCGAAGCGCCAATACAGTCTTATGTATATATATATATACACATACGTATATCCATTCAGATAAATCCGAAAGATGCTTTGTGGGTTTGCGTGGGCCCCCGGTCCCCGGAGCCCTCAGAGAACCCCGAAACGGCTCCGGAGGGCCCCCTGAAGGGCCCGAAACGGCGCCGGAGCTCCCCAGAAGAGCCCTGAGACGACCCAAGACGGCTTTCAGGCGGTCCAAGATGTTCTCCAGACGGACGGCTCCAGGCGGGTCCAAGGGGTCCCCCGAAAGGGCTCCATCAAGCAAAGATCGCCACAGTCCCTTCGGAAAATTGTCTTTTTCAGCAGATTCGGCTTATTAGTCTTTGGAGCGTCCAAAACGGCCCCAGAGGCTTCCAAGATCGCCCAAGACGGCTCTCAAGAGGGCCCAAAGATGGTTCCAGACGGGCCCAGGACGGCCCAAGAGGCGCCCAAGACGACCCAAGAGGACCCCACGAGAGGCCCAAGAGGGGCTCTGGACAGCCCCGAGACGGCCTATGGAGGCCCCGAGACGACCTCAGGCGGCCCATGAGCCCCAAAGACGCCCCCGGACGGTTCCATGCGGGTCCAAGGGTTCCCCCGAAAGGGTTCCTTCAAGCTAAAATCGTCACAGTCCCTTTGGAAAATTTTCATTTTCAGCAGATTCGGCTTATTGATTTTCGAAGCGTCCACAACGGCCCCAGAGGCTTCCAAGATCGCCCAAGACGGCCCCCAAGAGGGCCCAAAGATGGCTCCAGACGGGCCCAGGACGGCCCAAGAGGCGCCCAAGACGACCCAAGAGGACCCCACGAGAGGCCCAAGAGGGGCTCAGGACAGCCCACGATGGCCCCAAGACGGCCCGATAGGCGCCCAAGATTGCCCAAAACGGCCCCAAGACAGCCCACGAGGCGCCCTGCCAGCCCAAGAGGGCTCCGAGAAGCCCCCGAGGAGCCCAAAACAGCCCCCCTAGAAATCCCAAGCGGCTCCCAAGAAGCTTCAAAATTGCTTCCAACAGAGGGGGGCGGACGAGAAGCGAGGGGCCCCTCGCAGGCGCATATGGGTATATATATATATATATATATATATATGTTTTGACGCTCCGGTGGCCCTGGGGCTGCCCCGTTGCGCTCCCTACTTTGCCGCGACGCCGTTCCGACGCCTCCGCGCGGCCCGAGACGGCGCCGCGTTTGCCCGAACCCGCTCCCGCGTCCGCCGCGATCCCGGCGCGAATCTTCCAACGTTGCTCATGCCTGGACTCTTGAATTTCTGCCTCTTACGAAGCTCGAACACTTCGGCCCCCGTTTCGATGCATTGGACGCCTTCGGTTGGGGAACAGCACTAGAACAAGCTTCAAGGGATCCACGGCAGTAGTTGGCAGCGTAGCATCACCCAGCGCGCGCCACCATGCCTCGATCCGCCCAACTTCGTTGATTTACTCCACGGGTCCACTATTTTTTATATATATATATATATATATATATATATATATATATATATATATATATATATATATGTACGTAGCACCCCGCAATTGCGGATAAGAGTGAGGGGGCGGGCGCGGGCGACGCGGGCGTCGAGCCAGCGGACCGCCGCAGGCGCCGATTTTTTGGTTTGTTCAGTGAACGTAGTTTGGTTCGCGGGTGGGTCGCGGGCTCCCCACCTCCACTTGGAAGGAATTCAAAAACCAGCCCGCCGCAGGCGCCAAAAGTTTTGATTTGTACACTGGACGCGGTTTGGGTCGCAGGTTTTCCACCTGGAGCGAATGCAAAAGAAACCCGCCGCAGGCGCCGAAGTTTTGGCTTGTTCAGTGAACGTAGTTTGGGTCGCGGGTGGGTCGCGGGCTGTCCACCTCCACCTGGAAGGAATTCAAAAACCAGCCCGCCGCAGGCGCCAAAAGTTTTGATTTGTACACTGGACGCGGTTTGGGTCGCAGGTTCTCCACCTGGAACGCATACAAAAGAAGCCCGCCGCAGGCGCCGAATTTTTGGCTTGTTCCGTGAACGTGGTTTGGATTGCGGGTGGGTCGCGGGCTCTCCACCTCCACCTGGAAGGAATTCAAAAACAGCCCCCCCGCAGGCGCCGAAAATTTTGATTTGTACACTGAACGTGGTTTGCGTCGCGGGTGCGTCGCAGGTTCTTCACCTGGAACGAATGCAAAAGAAGCCCGCCGCAGGCGCCGAAAATTTTAGGTGGGTCGCGGGTGGCTCGCGGGTGTATTCTCGATATGTGTACATATGTATTCTCTGACCGTCGCCGTACTAATCCTGGGGGCCCAAGGGGCTTGCAGGGTGTTTTGCGGAAACAGTTTTGACCCCTCTTGTGGGCTGTTTTGGCGTCTCTTGAAGTATTTTGTTGTGCCTCTTGGGGGGTGGGGCCTGTTGGAGGCCTCTGTGGGGGTCCTTGGTGCCTCTCGGGGGCCGTTTTGGGGCCGTCTTGGACACCACACACATTGCACCGGGTAGATTGGACCGCATAGATTGCATTACATAGGTTGCATCCTCTTGGGCCGTCTTGGAGCCCTCTTGGGCCGTCGCGGGGGCCTCTTGAGTGCCTCTTGGGCCGTCTTGGGGCAATCTGCGGGGCATCTTCGGCCGTCTTGGAGCGTCGGGACGGCGAGAAGTTGTTGATGTACGGTTTACGAAGGGATTTGGCCATTTTGGCCTCTTGGGGCTCCCTTTGGAGGCCTCTTGGGGCGTCTTGGGGCGAGAAGGGGGCCTCTGGGACTGTCTTGGGGCCATGGACGTCTTGTAGCACTCTTCTTGGCCCAGCTTGGGGCCCTCTGGAAGCCATCAGGAGCCGTCTTGAGCCCCCAGCGCGCTCGGGTCCCGGCGGCCCCCAGCGGGACGCAGGTCTAGCCGGATCAGTTTCTATGTATATGGGTATTTAGCGTATTAGCACAGCTACGTGCAACGGGGAACCGGACCCGGGGAGTCCAGGGCCGCAACCCTGACCACAAATGGGTGCGCCGGGGGCCCCAGGGGGGCTCCCTGGGCGCCGGGGGCCCTCTAAGATCGCCCGAAGACGGCCCCGGACTGTTAGAAATCGCCCTTCCGGACTGCCAAAACGACAAATTACGATAGAGATGGCCCCACAATTCGCCCCACATTTTTCAAGAGGCCTTTCAGACGCCCCAAGAAGCCTCCAAGAAGCCTCCAAGAGGTCTCCCAAGAGCGCCCGAAGCGGCAACAATCGCTGATTTTCAATAGGTTTTTGAAGGATTGTCGAGTTCTCGCCCTTTCAGCTTCCCGAAGCTCCACGACGGCCCGAGGGGCCCCAAATGTCCGCTCCAACACAGCCCAAGAGGCCTCCAAGAGGGCCCCAAGATGGCCCAAGAGGGCCCCGAAACGGCGCCCGAGGCGCCCAAGACGGCCCAAGAGCGTTCCAAGACGGCCCCATCAAGGACACAGGAGGGGCAACCCCAACCGACAATGCGAGCTCCCGCCTCGGGACGCTCCCTGGAGGGCCCAAGAGGCCCCCAAGAGGCCTCCAAGAGGCCTCCCAAGAGCGCCCGAAGAGGCAACACTCGTTGACTTTCCTTCGGTTTGGGAGGCTTTTCGAGTTTTCGCCTTTTTGGTTTCCCGACGCTCCATCACGGCCCCAGAGGCCCCCAAGACCGCTGACCGCTCGAAGACAGATGAAGAAACCTCCAGTAGAGCCCCAAGACGGCCCACGAAGGCCCCAAGACAGTCCCTGAGACGCCCAAGACGGCACGAGAGGGCCCCGAGACGGCTCCAAGACAGGCCCAAGAAGGGGAACTCGAACCCAGATGTGTCTGGAGGGTCGTACTTTTTGAGACGCTCAAGACGGCCTGAGAGGGCCCCAAGACGGCTCCAAGGCAGGCCCAAGAAGGGGAACGCGTACCCAGAAGTGCCCGGAGCCTGAAGACGCCTCCAGAGACGCTCAAGACGGCCTGAGAGCCCAGGAGACCTTCCAGAACGCCTTCGACGAGCCAAAACCCTTCCAAAACCCAAGGGAAATCATTGACTTTCGCCTTCTCGCCTTGTCGCCTCCGATGGGCTTCTGAGACCTCACGATCGCTCCCAAGAGGCCCCCGGGAGGCTCCAAGACGCCCCACAAAACCCTTCAGACGCTCGAAGACGGCCCCAAGAGGCCCCCACGAAACCCCTACAACTTGTAGGTGGCTCCTGACGTTGCATGTGTGCGTGCGCATCTGCACGCAACTGTGAGACTGTCACGGGCTGGAGCTGGCTAGAACCTAAGCGCGCGAAGCGCGCGCGTGGTTCTAGTTTAATATAAAACGTATATTTGGCTGCGTGACCAGCAGCGGACGCTCTCATGCCGTTGCGAGTCGAGTCGAGTCGAAAAGGAGGAGAAATCAGAGCTAACAGGTGACAGGCCGTACGGCACCGGAGGAGGAGGAGGAGGAGGAGGAGGAGGAGGAGGAGGAGGAGGAGGAGGAGGATCCTCCCCGCTCCCTCCCGCTCGCGGGACCCGTCCCCCCAGGGCTCCCCTGGCACCGGGAGCCAGTCGATCTCGGGGGACTACCTGCCCATGAGCGACGGCAGCCCGGGCCTCCGGAGCTACGAGAAGCCCCCGGAGCGAGGACGCCCCGTTTGCAGGGGCTCCTCTCGGCGGCGAGCGAAGGGGGAAGTGGGAAAAGGGGCGGGCTTACGGGGTTCTTGGGGCCGCCAACTGTACACCCACACCGATCCTGGCCAGTCTTCCCTGACTCCGTGTCAGCCGTACTTTTGGCGATTTCGCAAGTGAGGCGGAAATTTCTGCCCTACTTGTTCAAGCTCTTTTGATGTCGACTTCCGCCCTACTTTGCCGTCGCTGCTTCCGCCATACTCTTGCGGATAAATCCGCCCTGCTTATCTGATGCGGAAATTTGCACCCAATGTTTTTTCCTCCTACAGGATGCCTTTCCGACACAACTTCCAATCGGAAAATCAACCAGCCAGGGCAGTCCAACCTTGACCCGGTGTCTGCCGGGTCGGGGCCCGATCGGGGCCCCGCCCTTGGCACGCGGCGCCACATCTGCCTCCCCGCTCCGGCGCGAGCGCCCGCCGCGCAGCAACCCGCGCTCCAGCGGGGCTGCTGGGGGCAACCCCCGAGCGACACTCGCTGAGCCCCGCGCTGGGGGGGCCGCTGGGCCGCTGGAAGGATCCCGCGTCAGCGACGGCGTATACGGGGCCCCCGCGCCAGCGTCGGGCGGGGCCCCTCCGCGCCAGCGCCAAGGTACAAGCTGAGCTACGAGGACCACGAGCCGAGCTACGAGGACCACATGTACGTTTACAGCCACCAGCAGAGCTACCAGGGCGGCGAGCTATATGCCGCAAGGGCCACGTGCGTACTTGCGAGAGCCACCAGCCCAACTACGAGGGCTACATAGGGCTACTTGCTTAGATACGAGGGCCGCAACTCGAGCTACGCAGGCCACAAGAAGAACTACTACAGCCTCCCACAGAGCTACCAGAGCGACAGGTTACGCTGCAAGGGCCAGGGGCAGAATTTCGATAACCGCCAGCCCAGCTTCGAGGGCAGCCTGCTCAGCTACGAGGGCCACCTTCTGAATTACATGGGGCCTCCTGCAGAGTTACGAGGGCAACGAGCTGATCTGAATTGGCTGCCAGCTCAGCTACGGGAGCCACCTGCAGGGTTACGGGGACCACCAGCTGAGCTACCAGGGCCAACCGCTGTACTACGAGGGCCACGGGATGAACACCATGGCCCACGGAAAACCCAACCAAAAAGCCGATCGCCATCGGCGACGCAGTGCAGGGCAGGCTCGGCAAGACGTACCAGGACTGCGTCGTGGCAAAGCTGGACGAGACATCTGCCACGGCCCGCTGACTGAATGACACGACGTGCCTGCTCCAGCGCGCGGCACCCCGTGGACCGCGCTAGACCGACAAACCGTGAACGGCACAACGCCTATGTAACACAACGCATGTGTGACCCTCAGGAAAACAAGTATTACGTGCATATCGTTATGTGCAAGATACCACGTCTGCAGCATGACCGCACTGTTGAGACGATGAACTGGTACTTCGCCTATTGCGTTACCGACAAGGTACGCCATGTTCAGCGCCACAGACAAGGTACTGCGTCATCGGCAACCGCTGCGACATCCCTTGGGTGGCCCCGCCGCTTTGCCCCCCCTTCACTCGCTAGATTCAGGATGGTTTGAGCTGAGCGGGGGTGCCCCCTTCCCTTCCTCCTCCCTCCGGAAAGAGTCGCCCCGCGCCGTCGGCCGGCGCCCGCGCGCCCGCGGCCAGCGCGGCGGCTTCCAGGAGACGCGTTCAGCTGCTGTGGAGACGAGGAGCAGAAGGAGGAGCGGGAGCAGGACCAAGAATAGAGGCAGGAGCAGCAGCAACAGCAGCAGCAGCAGCAAAAAGTGCTCCCCCTCTCACAAGTTGGAACGATTCCGCGTCCCGGGGGGGTATAAGGAGTTTGCGTCACCGCGCGCTTCCGAGTTCGCTGCCCCATACTCCCCCTGCAGTCCCCAGCTAACCGCGCTTCACTTCGTTATTTTGACCCCAAAATCTCTGCTCCTCGCTCCTCTTCGGTTCTCTTCTGGCAGTCCTGCGAAGACGCCGATCGCTACAAGCGAGCCGGGGTCGGAGCCAGAGTCCGGATGTTGCTTTGTCCTGTGCCTGCGCGGTGGGCGTCCGACGAAACCTGGCCAGGTGAGGGAGCACTGCCGCCTTGCGATCCCCCTGACTCCGGATCCATCCTACTTTAACGGTTTCGCAAGTAGGGCGGACATTTCCGCCTTGGTTTTTCGGGTTTCTTGGATGTCGTTGTTTTGCCCTATTTGGACGATCCCTGCCGTCGCTGATTCGCCATTCTGCGGAATTCGCCGCCCTGTTTTTCTTAGGGGAAACCTTTACTTGTTCGCATCGCCAGGGGTGCATGTCCGACGCAACTGCAAGTCTGGACGTCAACCATATAGTACGGCGGATCCGAAGTCAGGGCCGCGGCTTTTGCAAACCAGCCCGGCCGCAGACTGCCTGGGGGGCTTCCTGACCGTCCTGAAGTCGAGCCCGTTCCTCAGCGTCATGTTGCTCTTCATCCCTGGCGGCTTCGCGTGTCAGGCCTGCGCTGCATGGGGGCGGGTGGGAGCCAGGGGCGTAAGTGCAGCAATGGTGGCGGCCCTGACTCCGCATCCGCCGTACCATGGTTGATTTCCCGACTTCAAATTGATCTGGAGACGCACCAAATAATGCAACAAAAGCAGGGCGGCAGCTTCCACCTCGGAAAACTAGAGCGGTGGTGTCCGCAAAAAGTATGGCGGAATCAGCGACGGCAAAGTAGGCCGGGAATCGACATCGAAGGAGCTTGAACAGTAGCTCGGAAATCCCGCCCAACTTACGAAATCGCCCAAGGCAAGGTGGATCTGGAGTCAGGGTGGTGCACCCTTGTGGGGAGGGGGAGATCGGAAGGGTGAGCGGAGAGCGGAGAGGCCGATTTCGACTCTCGCCCTCGCTCCTTCTCCTCCCCCGCCTCCTCCTCCTCCTCCTCCTCCTCCTCCTCCTCCTCCTCTTCCTCCTCTCCTCCTCCTCCTCCTCCTCTCCCCCACATCTCTCCTACACTCTTTTCCTCCACCGCTCCTCATCCTCTCTCCCCCGCCTCTCCCCCGCGCCTCCTCCTCCTCATCCTCCTCCTCCTCCTCCTCCTCTCCTCTCCTCATCCTTCTCCCATCCTATAATCTGCTCCTCCTCTCCTCCTCCTCCTACTCTCTTATGAATAATCATCATCATCATCATCTCATCCATCATCATCATCATCATCATCATCCTCATCATCACAATCATAATCATCATCATCATCATCATCATCGATCTTCATCATCATCATCATCATCAATCATCATCGCATCAGCATCAGCTCATCATCATCATATTCATAATTCATCTCATCTTCATCTTCATCATCTTCTTCACCCATCTCCATCACCATCACCATCATCATCTTCTTCATCTTCATCATCATCATCATCATCATCATCATCATCATCATCATCATCATCATCATCATCATCATCATCATCATCATCATCATCATCATCATCATCATCATCATCATCATCATCATCATCATCATCATAACCATCATTATCATCATCAGCAGCATCAGAATCATCAGCATCATCATCATCATCATCATCATCATCATCATCATCATCATCATCAGCAGCAGCAGCAGCATCATCATCATCATCATCATCATCATCATCATCATCATCATCACCATCCATCATCATCATCATCATCATCATCATCATCATCATCATCATCATCATCATCATCATCATCATCATCATCATCATCATCATCATCATCATCATCATCATCATCATCATCATCATCATCATCATCATCATCATCATCATCATCATCATCATCATCATCATCCGCCCTGTGCTCCTCCTCCTCCTCCTCCTCCTCCTCCTCCTCCTCCTGCTACCGTGGCGGGGCTTGCAGGGCTCTGCTGCGCCGGGCCAGCGCTACAGGCTGCGGCCGCGCGCCAGGCGGCTCCGTCCGCTCGCCACGCGTCCGCGGCTGGGCTGCCGAGGCTATTTGCTTCAGGCCTCCCTCCCAGAGATCCAACGCATTGAAAAAATCAAGACGGATGTTTTTCATGATTTTCGGCCTCTAGGGGCCCTCGCCGGGCCCCGGGAGCGTCACAAAACGATTCAGGATGAAAAACCGGTCCTGGGGAATCGGTCGAGATTTCCAGGGACCCCGTACTGAAAAAATCACGTCATCGGATCTCTGGGCTTGAGTGGGGCCCAGGGATCGCCTTCAACTGCAGGACTACCCAGCAAGGACGTCAAGGTGGTCAAGCGCCTCGCCCGTGGAGCCGACGGAGGTGTGCAGAATCCAGCCATTCTCTTCGCAATCTGTCCAAAGTTTGAGCCTGACGCCAGGCGTGGCGCACCAATCTCAGCTTGACCGAACAGATTGGTTGCGCCCCTTGACGGCCTCTCGGGGTGTTCTGCAGACCTGACCCCTCAGCCCTGCTCAAGGCCTCCCACGGGACGATGGGAATGGGTACGGAAAGAAGGGGTACAGAGACCGACAGCAGTTCCTGTTCATTTTGAACAGGATTTGCTGTCGGTGCCGCCGCGGGCCCTGTCCATTTGAGACAGAAGGCCGCCTGCCCAACAGCGGCCGCTGTCGGTTTTGGACAAGGGCGGCCGCCTGCCCAACAGCGTCCGCCTGCCCAGCAGCGGCCGCTATTTACTTCAGGGCTCCCAGATGGGGTCCGAGCCTCGCAAGGTTTCGATCGTTCTTTGGAAGCGTCAACGTTTTCGACCGTTTTCGGATGTTTCCGGGAGTTTTCGAGTCCCCAGGTGGTTTCCATCGGCTGCGCCTCGTCGAGGGAGTTTCGGGCGTGCCCGGATTGTCCCGATAGGCCGCCTGGGACCGGAGCCATGACTTGAAAATTCGACGACGAGCCAGTCCGAGCAGATGGGGCCTACGGGTCGCCCCGCATCGCCGATGTATCGCCGATGCGGCTCGATGTGGAGCCCGATTTTCTCTGCGCCGTCGTCGCCGATGCATCGTCGACGTCACCGATGCATCGGCGATGCGGCGCGATCCTCCGATCCCCAATTGCCAGCCTGGAGCATCTCCCTATCCCTATGTTTGGCATCGCCTCATCTCGATTCCAACCTTGAGGGTTCCCTCAGTTCCAGAGGGCACATCCCCAATATTGTCATCGCCTTTTGGCTTGCCGATCTTCGGGGAAGGGATAAGCTCGAGGCTGGTTGCCAATCTGCTCGGACCCCATCTGGGAGGCCTCTATGTACGTACGGGGTCATCCACGGCTGGGCGGCGCGGATGGGCTGCTGGCGGCTCGGGGGCGGCGTGGCGGCAGCACGGCGGGGCGGTCACGCGGCCCGCGGCCCTTGCTGTGCCCAGGCCTTCAGTCATTACGCATGAAGCAACCCCCAACACTGATAACAAAATTGATTCGTGGCCCTTCTCAGGTCCTCGGTTCTTAGGGTTATCCCTCAACATGTGGGTGTTCTCGTCTGAGACACCTGCGAAAAAAGACCCCCTATCCCTAATGTCGTTGGCCCTCCTAGCTTAGGTCCCCTCTCCAATGATTCGGGTCGCTTTGTATTGCTTATCGTCCAGCGCACTGAAGAAACAAGACAGAGGTTTCCGTCGTTTTCAGCGTCTGGGGGCCCTCGCCAGGCCCGGGGAACGTCAAAATGCGGCCCGCAACGAAAAGCCGGTCCCTGGGAAGTGGATCCAGAGCTCCGGGGACCCTGCATGGGAAAGTCTGCAGCATCGGAGGTCTGGTCTTCTTTTGGCGCGCTCCAGGATGATGGCAGGGTCCCCCATTGGAAAAGGCATTGGTCCTCCATGCGCAGGCTCTTCTCCTGGGGAAGCTGTTCGCTGTTTGGCTCCAGAAGCCTGCCGGGTTCTCTTTGAGGCGTGGCAGGGCCTGCAATCTGCCCTCCGATCTTCGCCGATGGCGCGGTCCCACTGCCGTTCGCAGCTGGCCGGGCGCGCGTGTCGCAAGCGCCTGATTGCAGAGGGATGCGCCGTGCATATTCGACTGCAGCGGGCAGCAATCTTGTATAAGCCGTTCTGTCTGCGGGCGTTTGCCGATTCACGGCGGCGGCAAGAAGAGACCCTGTGTCTGGGTCTTGTATATTTCTCGGATCGGTCTTCGGAGCGTCTCGTTACCATTGAGAGCCGCATCACGCTTGTGAGCTTGTGCGCTTGTAGTTCCGGACGTTTATCAGTGGTCCAATTCCCCGATCCGCTGCCTTCACCAAAACTTTCGGGGCTTCGCATTCTGGCTCGTGGGAAGCAGCAGGTTGTCCTCGACCTTCGCGTTCCCGTGCCATTGTCGAAACACGAGTTTAGGCGAGGACGGATCTGTTCTCTTACGTTATGTTTCTTCCTTTTCATCCACGCCCGCTCCCTCGACTCGGAGCCCCCTGGCCCAACTAAAATCTGGAGGGGAAAAAACACACAGACACAATTAACGGTCGAGTCCCAGAAAATACGGGAAGTGTGGGGGAAGACGAAAGCCTAGAAAATACTGGAAAAGATGGGGTATCCTGGGATTTGTGTGTATTTGTGTGTTCCTGGGCCCCTTCACAAGGATGCAACAACACGGAGAAGATGGCGCGGCCTCTGCGCGAGGACGACGTGCGCGTATCTCGTTTGCGATTCGGCGATGCACTGATCTTCTGGCGATGTGTTTCCTCCCCCTGCTCGACACCTCCTCCTCCTCCTCCTCTTCTTCTTCCTCCTCCTCCTCCTCATCCTCTCTTCCTCAAGTTGCACGTCGCGTTTGAACACGACACAACATGTGTGCTCTTTTGGTCAAAAAGAGGAAATGCATGAAGAAAAAAATGAATCAACACAAAAAGACAGACAACAAACGTTTCCAGTGGTGTGTATATATATATATATATATGTATGTATGTATGTGTATATATATAGCTGTAAAATTTTACAGCTTGAAGTATTTACCGCGCCCCCCGCCCCCCTCCCCCCCCCCTTCCGGCGCACAACACCGATCGGTCGCCCTGGGGGGCGCCGACGCCTCCACCCCCTCCACGCGGACAGTGGTTCAGCCTGCCGCCCACGTGGATCTTCTTGACGAACTTCATGGCGGTCATCCCGCTCGCGTGGGCCCCCCCCTTCCCTGGAGAGAGGAGGATGAGGAGTGATGATGGGAAGGGGGGGAGGACGGGGCAAAGGGGGACGAGGAGGAGGAGGGTGAGGAAGGAGAGGAGGCTCGACAGGTGCTGGCGACCGTTAGGCATGAGTCTGGGCGCCCCAGGGCGTCGAGGTAATGATCAAAGGACTCCGCGGCTACGCTCGAGGAGGGTGAAGAAGGAGGGGGGAAGAGGGGGAAGGGGACTGGAAGAGGAAAGAATGGGATTGGGATGAGGGGCGGCAGCAGACGGATCAGTAGAACGAGGAACACGGCGGTGATTATGATGACGATGATGATGGTGATGATGATGACGATGCTGATTCTGATGATGCTGCGGATGCAGACGGTGATGATGACAATGACGGCGACGACGACGACGATGACGGGGGTGATGCTGCTGATGGTGCTGGTGATGATAATGCTGATGCTGATGACGACGGTTGCGACGCCAATGGCGATAATCGCAACGATGCTGACGCTGATGATGATGGTGGTGGTGCTGATGATGATGATGATGATGATGATGATGGCAATGATGGTGATGGTGATGGTAATGATGGCGGTGATGATGCCGATGCCGATGCCGATGCCGATGTCGACGAGGAGGATGAAGGAGGGGAATACGCGGAGGAATCACGAAAGGGGGATTGGAAGAAGGAGTGAGTGGAAGATGAGGGTACTCGTGAGGATGACGATTACGATGGTGATGGCGATGACGATGACGACGGCGACGGCGGCGACGGCGGCGACGATGATGATGCTGGTGGTACTGGCGATGATGATGATGATGATGATGATGATGATGATGATGATGATGATGATGATGATGATGATGATGATGATGATGATATTGCTAAGGATGACGGTCGCGATGACGATGATGACGATGACGATGAGGATGGTGATGATGATGACAATGGTGTTGATGGTGCTGTTGTTGTTGGTGATAGTGATGGTGACGGTGCGGGTGATGGTAATGATGACAACGATGACGCCGATACCGATGCCGATGCCGATGAGGAGGATGACGGAGGGGGAATGCGCGGAAGAGTCATGAAATTGAGGGTTGGGGAAAGATGAGTGAGGGGAAGATGGGGGGACTATTGAGGATGATTGTTCCGATGATGATGACGAAGACGACGACGGCGGTGGTGACTACGACGGGGATGATGATGATGACGACGATGATGATGGTGATGATGAAGAGGAGGACGATGCTGCTGCTGCTGCTGATAATGATTTGTGCTGATGGTTGTGATGATGCCGATGCCGCTGATGCGGAGGAGATGGAGGAGGCGGAGATGGAGGGGGAATGCGCCGAGAAATCATGAAAGGGGGAACTGGGTAGGGAGGAGTGAGGGGGAGGATGAGGATGAGAATCGGGATGATGAGAATGGTGGTGATGATGAGGAGGATAAGGGTGAGGATGAGGATGATGCGGATCTCGGTGATGGTTATGGTGATGGCGCTGTGGATGATACGGCTATGATGATATGATGACGGTGATGATGGCGATGACGGTGATGGCGGTGATGCTGATGTTGACGATGGTGATGAAGATATTGAGGAGGAAGGCGATGTTGATGGCGACGGTGCTGGTAGTGGTGATGCTGATTGTGGTGCTGATGCTGCTGCTGATGTTGATCATGATGATGGTGGCGATGATGATTATGATGATGGCGATGGTGCTGATGGTGATGGGCATAGTCATGGTCATGGTCGTGGGCATGGTGATGGCCGTGATGATGATGACGACGGCAATGGTCACGGTGAGGGTGAGGATGAGCATGAGGTTGGTGATGGTGGTGGTGATTGTGATGATGATGAGGTTGGTGATGGCGATGGTGATGATGATGATGATGATGATGATGATGATGATGATGATGATGATGATGATGATGATGATGATGACGATGGTGATGCTGATGGTGACGGTGCTGATGATGGTGGTGATGTTGATGATGATGATGACGATGACAATGGTGATGCTTAAGATTATGTTGATGATGATGATAACCAGGTGGTGGATGATCATGATGGGGGAGACGAAGCGGAGGAGGAGGGGGAGGAGGAGGAAAAGGGTCATGAAGAGGAGGTGGAAACAGGATATGAAGGGACATGAGGACGAGGTGGAGGTGGAAAGCGGGGAAGACGCTGATGATCACGCGCTCGAAAAGGAGGGCCGCCGAGAATGACTAGAATGACAAAGCGGGACTGATAGGAGGAAGGTGGAGAATGACCACCAGATAGAGGGCAAACGGAAGACGCCGAGGATGATGAGGAGGAGGACGACGACCAGGTGGAGGGGGAGGTGGAGTGAGGAGGAGGAGGAGGAGGAGGAGGAGGAGGAGGAGGAGGAGGGACAATGGAGGAAGGAGGTGGGATGAGGAAGGAGGAAGGGGCACGGCTTGAGCATGGGGGAGGACGATGAGAGGCCATGGGGGAGTGGGTTGGGGTCGTGGTGGAGAGGGGAGAGCGGGAGAGTGAACTCAGCCTTGTCCGTCCGCCCAACCCTGCAGGTGGCTCATTGGCAAGAGCACCGAGGACCTGGCAGCGAAGACCGGTCAGGCCAAGCCCCGCATGCTCGCGGCGGGACTCGAACGGGCCTCGAATCGAAAATCAATCTGGCCCAGAGCGATCCGTAACGTTCTCAGAGCCTTCCAGAACGCTCTGAAACGGCCGCGGCGCCCGAGACATCCTCCAGAGCAGCCGGATCTCAGAGATTTCCGTTGTATCCTCACCCGCTTTTGTTCTCGTCCTGGCTTCGTCTTGCCTGGCGCTCTGCCGCGTGGCTCCTCCCAACGGGCCCACGCATCCTGAGATTGTTAGCTGCGGAAGGGGCGGGGGGTCTCGGCGGAAGGCCCGCGGGCGCCAGCGGGGGCATTACGAGGGGGGCTTCGCTGGCCGGGGCTCCTTGGTGTAAAGGGGCGTGGTGCCAATGCTGAACCTGGCGATGTCAGACGCACCGGTCGTTGAAAGTAGGTATTTCTGGTTTCCCAGATCCCAAGCTACTTTAGGCGCCTTCCTACTTCAAGAGTCGAATGGTTTCACTTTTTCCTTCCTCCTCAGGGGGCGGGCGGAAGCCCAATCTACTTCCAACACCTTCCTACTTCATGTTTCTACCCGCTTCTTCTGACCGACGGGTACCTATCGGAGACGACATCGCCATCCCCACGATTGGCACCACACCCCTTTGTGCCGCACCCCTTTCCGACCTCCGAGGGTATAGGTTTGCGGAGCCTCGTCGGCTCGAGCGGCGTTTCGGCCGCCCTTCCCCGGCCTGTGCCGTGATTCTCGGCTTGGACGGCGCGCAGCGCCTCCTCTTGCCGTGTTGCGTCTGTGAGGCCAGCGCTCGCAGGCGGCCCAGCGTGCGCGAGCGTCACTGGGAGCACAGACGTGAGTCGGCGGCTTCTTCCTTGGATGCATCACGTCATGACCGACAGAGGCGTTACGAGGGAAGGCCGTGCTCCCACCAGCCCGCTTCTCCCCGGAATCCTGGGCTGCCTGGCCCCTTCGCGGCTTCACGGCGACCAGGCACCGTGCAGGAGGAGTGGTCACCGGCTGCATCCGTCGCCGCTTCGTAGCTCAGATTTCGTCGAGGTTGCACGCCGTTCCGAGCTCAAACATCCTTGTCGCGCACTCCGCCGCTCCGGGCGCGCTCGTCGTCTGGGCGACCCGGGTGGTCTGCCGCGTCGGTGAGGACAGCCAAAGTGCATCTTCTGGCTCGGACAGCGAGTGCGTCTCCTTCTCGGCGAGAGATCGTGGCGGCAGGGCCACCCACAGTGCGCGCCTCGAGAGGTCACTCTCTCGCTGCGACTTCGGTGGGACAGACTCCAGCCGCACGAGCTGTCTGCTTAGCTCTGCGCGCACATTTGCTGACGATCCTTTGCGACCGTGGCATGCTCCCTCAAGGTGCATGGCCAGCGGGCACGGGCGTCATGTTGTTCTGCGCTTCGAACGACGCTTCTGGGGCACATGTCATGAAGCCGCTCACTGCGTAGATCCAGTGTTTTTTTTGGAGGCCGTGATGGCCACCATTTCATGAGCTGACAACTAGCACCCATACCGATGCGATCTCCACATTTCTCGTGGTGGAATTCCGGGGGGGTCCCCGCTCGAACGGGCGCCCCCCTCGGGGTCCGAAAATTCGTACTGGACCCATACCTACAGCGCCTTCATCGGCTTGCCCTTCCCATTTCCTCCTCCCCATAGGTCTCAGTGCGTGCTGTTCTTTCATGACCCTTCTCCCAGCGGTGGGGGGTGGGGGGGGGGGGCTCGGCGGAGGTGTTCCGGCGGGCCCGCCAGAGGTGCTGCTCTCGCACAGGGGACGAGGGCACGCAGGGGCGCGGGTGCTCGGGCTCGGGTGAGGGCACTGGTCTCTTCCCCATCGTTTGCCCGTCCTCGCCTAGACTTCATCCGTGCTCGCCAGGGCCACCCGAAGCACCTCACATTGTGTCGACCATGTCGCGCCGTGCTTTTCGGTTGGCTTGCTGGTGCCCATCACGAGGCCTCCTAGTTGACAGCATCGGGGGTTTGGTTTGCACCGCGCATGTGGATGTAAGGGCAAGCGCTCCAAGAGAGGGCAACGCGGGAGCACGACAGGAGGCGGAGGAGCTGCCTCGCGCTGCGGGCGGCCTCTTCTGCTGAGATTCCCCCAGGGTCAGCACGTGCTTGATCCATCCAGAGGCTCCAGAACTTGGATCACACGAAGAGGATGATGGACACCTTTTTGGACCATATGGTCAGGAGCTTTGACTTTGGCTTAGCGTGTCGCGCCGCCGATTCTGGCACACCGCGCTTCGGCGCAACACGCAACCCACGTCCCAGCACCCGACGTAAACGTCTTGAGCGGTTCCCAGCATCCAGCCCTGCGCAGCGGAGCGGAGCGACACGCTATCCACTCGCAGGGCATGGCGTGTCGCTGGGGCCGCCGCTGCCGCGGCACGCTCAGCAAAGTTTCTCGACCGTAATGCGAATCCGAAACTCGTATGAGCATTACCCCCACGTCGACCCCGAGTGTGTGCACTGCTCGAGAGCCCGGGCGCCTGGCCCACAGCGGGCCCTGCTGAGGCTCGCCACGTCTCCGAGGGCCCCAGCGCCTGGCCCACAGCTGGCCCACAGAGCCGGCAGAGCCCTCCGGCCCGCTGGGAGCAGCGCCATCTTCGTGCGAGTCGCCACGTTCCGAGGGCCAAAGCGTCTGGAAGGCGCTCGGCCCGCAGCTGGCCCGCCTAGTGGGCGGAGTCCTCCAGCACGTTGAGAGCAACGCCATCTTCGTGAGAGTCACCACGTTTCGAGGGCCAAAGCCCCCAGACCGCAGCTGGCCAACAGAGCCAGCAGAGGTCTCGGACAGTACAACAACGATGACATGAGCAGCAGCCGCATCATCGCCACAACAACATATTAACTACATGAGCAGCAACGACGACATGAGCAACAACTGCATCATGAGCAGCAGTGGTGATTTCAGAAACAGCCACATCGGCGGCAACCTCGTCAGCAAGTACAAACAAGCAGTAGCGGCATCTGCAAAGCCGACAGAGGTCTCCGATCACCAATTCGTTTTGCCAGGTAAGAACCCCTCATGCTAACTGTTTTACGTCGCAGCGCGGCAGAGGCAGTCCGCACGCGCGCTCAGGCGGTCTGCGCAACTGAAGGTGCGAATTAAATGGCGGCAGGAGGAGCAAACGACAGGCGGAAGCGGCCGCGGGGCGGGAGGAGAGGATGGGAGGGCGCTCGCATGGCGGACCCCCCCCTTTATGTTAACACGTATCTGGGGAAAAACCTCTTAGGACAATAACCGCATTCTTTGGAGCGGCCCAAAATCGCCGGTGCCACGTCTCTCGACACCACGCGAATCATAGCAGGCAGTGAAAGCTGAAACGCCGCAGCTCCGTAGCCGCCGCAGCCGACGCAGCTGCGCCGGCTGGGGGTCACCATGCCTGGGGGGAGAATAATACATCATTCGCCGCCGGAAGCGCTGCTCCACCCCCCTGGGAGAGGACGGGGGGGTGGCTCCCTGTCTCATTCCGGGGCTAACGTTATGTCAAACCTCGTTCGTGGAGGTTTGGGGATTCTCTTCGGCAGCTGCCCGTATCCCACTGCGCTGCCCAGCCGCTCCCGAAGCTCGCCACTTTCGGTGGACTTCTCTACGCCTCAGCGGGGGCGCGAGAGCTGCAACGCCTCTGCTCCCGCTCGGGTCCTTGGGCCGCCCGCCGCTGACTCTGGCCCAGCACGCTTCGGCACGACACGTCATCCACGTCCCAGAGCCCAAGCGTCAAGGCCTGGAGTTGTCCCAGCCTCCCGCCCCGCGGGGCGAATCGACACGCCATCCGCTCGCAGGGCGCAGCGGGCCGCCGTAGCCGCCGCAGCGGCATGGTAAACACAAGCGTCTGACCGTATTGGCATGAATGGAAGCGGGTCCTAAGGGAAACGGGTCCTGGACGTCCTGGGTAGGGCAACAAAGAAATGGCAGGAACACAATTTCTTGGAGCTCCGCGCGGATCCCCTGGATCGGCGCTGTGCCTCCGTGGCGGCGCCTCCGGCGTCGCCCACGGCGCGCTCCGCGCGCCAGGGACGGGGGATTCCAGCGCCGATCCAAGAGAATCCGCGCAGATCTCCGAGAACTCATGCTCCTGCCGATCTGTGCGCCTCCTCTTTGCTGGCAGGGAGGAAGCGGGTCCTGGGGGGCACGGGTCCTGGACCCGGGGGAGGCATTCTCCCAGGGTCCTCTCGTCAGTCCGAGCCGCCCTGTGGGCGGTCCCGGGAGCCGGGGGGGCCCCGAGAGCTCCGCTGCACCCCGGCATGAGGCGCGGGAGCGGGGAGGAGAATGGGGGGAGGGAGGGAGGGAGGGAGGAAAGGAGGAGGGAGGAGTGAGGGAGGTGGAGGCAGCGGAGGGGGAGGACGAGGAGGAGGACGACGACGAGGTCGGAGAAGAACAGTTTGCGCAAACGTAAACCGTCGGAGGTCCGCGCAGATCTCTGGAGTCGGCGCTGGACGCCCCCCTGGCGGCGCCGCCCCTGGAGCGCTCCTCGCGCCATGGAGGGGGTGCCCAGCGCCGATCCAAGAAGTCCGCGCGTGCCTCCGAAGAGTTCGTGCTCCCGTGCAGTGGGGGCGTTCGCTGAGGAGTGCGCCCGGGAGGCTGCCGACCCTGGGTGCTTCCTTGGCTGACGAGGGCGGCGATGGTGTTCATGGTCCGCCCACGACTGGAGTTCACTCAGCCTCCAGACCTTGGACTCCTTAGCCAACGGCTCCTTTCCCAATGCCCTCACCGCCTCTTGAGAGCTCTCATCTCCACTCTTTTCGAGGCGCTGCGCGGCTGCAGCTGTGCCCGGCGCCTCCTTCGCTTCGCCTCGGGAGCTTTGTGCACACGCTGGTCGTGCCGGCAGGGCTTTCTGGCCTGCTTCGGCGTGCGGGCTCCTTTCGCATGGCCTCTCTCTCTCTCTCTCTCTTTTTCCCCCTGCCTCTCCCTCGAATTGTAGTTCCTCCATGGTTGTGTCAGCCAAAAAATGGACTCACCGTCGTCTTCTCCTTCCTCCTTTGACGAGGAAGAGTGGAGGGAGGAGAAATAGGAGAAGGTTGTTCCTCGGGAGCGTCTCCGGCCCAGACGACGGGGCCGCCCCTCCCCGGAGGTGGTGGGGGGCCTGCTGAACGCCACGTTTGGGAACATCGTGGAGATGATGCTCTGCGTTGCGAGCATCCGGGCAGGAGCCCCTCCCCCAAAGCCGTTTCTCCTTTTAGAGGAGGGGACGCCGTCCCCGGAACGGCACCGATACCGCTACTCCGAGTTTCTGAATAAGCGTCGGGGGGGCGTCACCCCCGCCGACAGCCCCACATCGACCCCAGTCGCGGGCAGCCACCGTGCGCCGAAGGCGCTCCGACCCCTGTCGCGGCGCGACGACGAGGCGAGGTTGGCCCCTGTCGGGGTGGTACCCACCCAAAGAAACCCAGAGTACCCGTCACTCGTGGCGACGGGGCGGCGACGGCTGAATTCGCCTCGAAATTCAGGTCAGAACGCGCCCCAGGAGAGGCCGGGGGGGGGGGGGTAGCGGTAGCATTACCTTTCGGTTCCCCCTCCTGCCTTACCTTCCCTGTCAGGTGTTCGTTTGGAGGGGCATTCCTGGGACCCACCCAGCGGATCTGTTCGACCTCAGTTCGACTCTAGCTCGACTCAAGTTCGACCCACGCCGACGGGCGTTCGCCGCAGCATCGACGCATGAGTGGAGCGACTGGCTCCCGGAAGGTCCCCAGACCGAGCACCTGATCTACACCCCTCTCCCTGCCTCGGAACCCCCACGCGCTCCGCATGTCCCAGCGGCGCGCTTTTCTCCAGCGCGCATGTCCCGCACGCCATGACCTGGGCTCTCTGGCATCTTGACCTCTACAGCACGACGTGGCTGACGTGCGCCAGTTGACGCCTACCCCAGCTGGCCGGCTTATAGTCTGGTAGCCCTCATAGCTCTCAGCGAACCGTTTGATATTTCTTGCAGGAAAGCTCCGGCGGATAGAAATGGCAAGCTTCAGGGGTAAGATCTGGAGCGGGTCACGCCGTCGCCCCGCGGGGCACGTAAGGCTCCACTGTGCTCACGGAGCTTTGGACGTCTGCGCCGCGTGATCCGCGTTACCCGCTCCCGTGGGGATGTGGAGGGAGGTGGGGAGCCGGAGAGGGAGGATGCTATCTTTCCTTTTCTCCTTTCCTCCTTTCCATCTGCTCCTCCACCTCCTCCTCTTCCTCCTCCTCCTCCTCCTCCTTCCCCTCCTCCCCCTCCTCCTCCTGAGACACACATCGAAACGATGAGCTCAGTGTAGCCTGGCCTACACATGCTCAAACAGACTGAAGCCACCGGTCAGATCACCGAGGGGCACAAACGGCACCCAGACCAGAGATCAAGGAGTGCACCGCGACAGCTCCGCGGTGCACCACTTGCCTCGTAGCAGACCACGATGCTTCCGACGGCCAGCCAACACCCTCAATGCTGCCGAGGCCGGGCGGCAACCCCGTGCCACCACCTGCCTGGAGCGACAATCCCCGTGCCGCTGCCACCCCGTGCCCCGCCGCCCGAGGAAGAGAGGGAGGGAGGGAGGGAGGGAAAGAGGACGGAGGGAGGAAGAGAGGGAGGGAGGGAGGAAGGGAAAGAGGGAGGGAGAGCAGGAGGAGGACGAGGAATGAGGACGAGGACGCAGACGAGGAGGAGGAGTGGGAGGAGGAGGAGGAGGAGGAGGAGGAGGAGGAGGAGGAGGAGGAGGAGGAGGAGGACGAGGAGGACGAGGAGGACGAGGAGGACGAGGACGAGACCGACGAGGAGGACGAGGAGGAGGAGGAGGAGGAGGAGGAGGAGGAGGAGGAGGAGGAGCAGATGGATGAGGAGGAGGGCCCACGCGCAACCGCGGGTTCAAACTCCCAAGAGGAGGTGGCAGGTTGGGCGCGTGGTCCGATCACCACGGCGCGTGCACGCGCGTCCGTTGCCGAAGCCGAAGCGGCGCGCGCGCGCGTCGAAGACGCGGCGACGCGTCGGGCGGGCGCCGAGGCCGCGACGGAGGAGACGGCGGCGGCAGCAGCAGCGGGCTCGGGCGGCCGTGCAGGGAGGAGGAGGAGCAGGAGGAGGAGCAGGAGCAGGAGGAATGAGGAGGAGGACCAATGTAAACCCAAGAGTCATCAACGATGTTGGAATTTACCCTCCCTCCAAGCTCCCTCTTCACAGGCCCCTGCAAAGGTTCATTTCCGCTGAGGGAACTGCCTCGTTGGAAGACAACCGTTTGAAGATCCGGAAGCATGCCAAAACATTGTTCTCGGGATTCCAACGCCACGGATCAAGCTGACTGTTGCGTCTTGACGATCCGGAATCGTGCCAGAACGCCGTTTTCGGGACTTCAACACCGCGAATCAACATAATTGCTGCACCCGCATGATCTTGAACCCTTCTAAAACACCGTTTCTGGTACGCTGATCATGGGACTCCGTGAAACTCTTGCACATGTTTACAACGAATGCGCGCGGCGCTAAAGCGAGAGCCACATTTTGAAAACGACCCGCCCTCAATCCGTGAAACATTCGCAAATGTTTAAAGCAGTTTTGCGCGGCGCTAAAGCGAGAACCACATTTGGAAAACGCCCGAAGCTGTTGCGATTTCGAAAGAAAAGGAGCATGTGCGCGGCGCTAAGGCGAGAGTCACATTTTGAAAATCACCCGCCCTCCATCTGTGAAGCTGTTGTTCGGAGTAAAATTGGTGAGGAATTCTCAGGCGAAACGGGGGCGACAGCGAGACGGGGATCAGTTATTCATAAGGAAAAGGAATGGAGGAGGAGGAGGAGGAGGAGGAGGAGGAGGAGGAGGAGGAGGAGGAGGAGGAGGAGGAGCAGGAGCAGGAGCAGGAGCAGGAGCAGGAGCAGGAGGAGGAGGAATGAGGAGGAGGACCAATGTAAACCCAAGAGTCATCAACGATGTTGGAATTTACCCTCCCTCCAAGCTCTCTCTTCACGGGCCCCTACAACGGTTCATTTCCACTAAGGGAAGTGCCTCGCTGGAAGAAAACCCTTTGAAGACCCTGACGCATGCCAAAACATTGTTCTCGGGATTCCAACGCTACGGATCAAGCTGATTGTTGTGTCTTGACGATCCTGAATCGTGTCAGAACGCCATTCCTGCGATTTCAAAACCGCGAATTAACGTAACTGTCGCACCTTCATATCCCTGAATCCTTTCAAAACACCGTTTCTGCTACGCTGATCACGGTCATCCGTCAAGCTCTTGTAACTTTTTACAAGAAAATGCGCGGCGCTAGGGCGAGAGCCACATTTTGGAATCGATCCGCCCTCCATCTGTGAAACTTCTGCGAATGTTACAAAACATGTGCGCGACGGTCGGGCGAGAGCCACATTTTGAAAACTACCCGCCCTCCATATGTGAAGCTGTTGTCAACTTTTAAACTTCAGGGTCATCAATGATGAGGATGCCTCAGGCGAAACGCCCGACCCACCGTAAAAACTGGCCTCGTGGTGCGACAGGGAGGAGTTACTTACAAGGAAGAGGAGGAGGAGGAGGAGGAGGAGGAGGAGGAGGAGGAGGAGGAGGGAGGAGGAGGAGATCGAGAGGAGGAGGAGGAGGACGAGAAGGAGGAGGAGGACGAGGAGCAGGAGGGGCAGGAGGGAGAGGAGGATCATGATGATGAGGAGGAGGAAGATGATTATGATGATGATGATGATGATGATGATGATGATGATGATGATGATGATGATGATGATGATGATGATGATGATGATGATGAGGAGGAGGAGGAGGAGGAGGAGGAGGAGGAGGAGGAGGAGGAGGAGGAGGAGGAGGAGGAGGAGAAGGGGCACAGGCGGGCACCCCTACTGGGGGGGACCTGGGGCGCCCTCAAGGGCGGTGGCCCAAGAGAGCCACGCGACCCGCAGGAGAGAGGACCCAACAAGGGCCTTGGGGCCTCCACGCCCTTTCAACCGCTGCCGCCACAGCTCGCGCCACCCACCTTTTCCTAGCCCTTCGAGATTATTACAATGATGATGCGATGCATCTCCTCCTCCTCCTCCCTCACTCCTGCCTGCGGGACCTTGGTCCCAAATCTTTTCGATTTTGTTCTACTCCCTCAGGGGGGCCCGACCGGGCCTCACTGGGGAAAGCGGCAGCGCCTGCAGACACCAATGCGTTTCGCGGAGCGCGCGCCCCTGCCTTGTTGGCCACCGCTCCCCGGCCCTGGCAGGAGAGCTGGAGATCACGAAGTGCACGCTACTGGGCCGGCCTGCGGGGAGTGGAAGACGATGGGAACCAAGAGGAGGAGGACGGGAGGAGGAGGAGGAGGAGGAGGAGGAGGAGCAGGAGGAGGAGGATAAGGATAAGGATAAGGATAAGGATAAGGATACGGATAAGGAGGAGGAGGAGGAGGAGGAGGAGGAGGGCGCACGCCTGTAACCCCTTTCCCCCGGCCGCGCGCCTCCTGCCCTAGGCCACGCGGGGGGAGGGGGAGGGCGCGCCTGGCGGCGCTGCTGCCTCACCGCCCCGAGCTCGACCGCCGAGGGGCGGGCAGCGTCATGCGGCGCCAGGACCGCCCCCGCTTTCCCCGTCTGCTCCCCGACCGCCCTGGCCACTCTCTCTCTCTCTCTCTCTCCCTGCTCGCTCAGGCTTCCTCCGAGGGTCCTCTGGGGCTCTAGCCTGTCTGGCGTTGGCAGTGGCCCAGAGGTCAGCAGCGCGGCTGCCTGCAAGAATCCTGGCACCGACACCCCCGCGCTGCTCCGGGGCGTGATGGGCCTTGACCTTGAGGGTGCGAAGCGTGTAGGCCCCATCCCACCCCAGTCAGCACGCTTAGCCCTCACGAGCTGCCACAATGCAGAGTGAGCTGCTGATGGGGAACAACACGCATTCTGGCCACTTCCTTTGAGGCAAAGCACCACACAGTCACTGCCAGAGAAGAGCACGAGAGGTGGCATAGCGTTCCTGAGGGCCTTCAGGCCAGCCCAAAGCTCAGCTCGATCTATACACTGGCTTGGCCCCTCCGAGCCCCTTTCCAAGCACATCGCTACCTCGAAATCACGGGTCTGCCGAGGGGGAGGAGGAGACGGGGCATAAAAGACGACGGCCCAACCCGCCACACACCCAGGTGGGATTTCATGGTCGTAGCGGGAGCCGTCGACATACAAATCACTTGTGAGTTGTTCTTTAGCCGCTCGGTAGACTTGTTGCGGAGCGGGCTCAGGGAGGAGTGGACACCGATCGAAAGGCAGCAGGCCCTTGCTTCGAAGCAGCTCTGCAAGCTCCGACGGGCGTTCTGGCATCGGAGACGAGGGCCTCGCAGGTCAGGTGCCGGTGGTACAGCGTGCCATGGCCACTCTCACGAGCACGACGCCCGCGGCTCTGCACAACACTGGCAGCATGCACGCGCTGCTGGGTCCACTGGCTGCCCGCGATCGCGGAGCGCAGGATAGGACTGCGCCTTGGGCGTGGGAGGGGGCCGCCCACCCAGAATGCCCACGATCGGCTCGATCGGCGTTCGCTTTTTCAAGCTCGGGGATGCCTCGGTCCTGTTCCTCGTGTAGTTCCCGCGCTAGCTATCCAGACGCTCCTCAATCGCGCGTGGTGGCGCAGCCTTGCTGTGGTGATCCTCTTTGCGTTTGAATCGTTGTGTCTTAGTTGCGATGCGGGGGGGGGAACAAACCTTTCAAGCTCGGGGGTGCCCAGAGACTTGTTGACCTGCTCCCGATGGCAAGCCTCACGGGCGCTGTCAGCCAGCTCCCGCGGGCCACGCCAGCACAAGTCACCAGGTTTGATCTGCTGGTCCAGAGCGAGAAGCCTTCGCACATAACCCCCACCTAGACGCAGTGCCCACCGACGCGGAAGAGTGGCCAGATGTTTTGCCACAGACTGCTTCTCTGAGCTGATTAAAGGGCTCGCAGGAGCCCGTGGGTGATGACGCGCTGTGGCACCCAAGTTTGACGCGAAGCCGCCAGCATAGCGCAGATAGGCTCCGAGGGGATTTTAAACATAGGATCGACACGGCGCCATGGGGCTAGCAGCAGACGAAGGGTGGTGCATTCTCCACGCGGAAGACCAGCCTCCGCCGCTCGGGCTGGCCTGCAACATTTAAGCGCCGCGCTCTGGGCACAACAGCATGGAGTCTGTTGCGCTTCGTTTGCCTGGATAGCCCTACCCGACGCGAAACCATTTCATAACTATTCCTCTCAATGCGTGACGTCAGACTTCCGAGGCACTGTAACTTCTCATCCATGCTGTCTCGCAGCTTGGGAGCGCTGGCCAACAAAAACGGCGTTGTCTCGGTGGCGACAATGGGGTGGCACTTTTGCAACTCCTGCTCAAACATGCTGCAAGCAGCCGTCGTTGATCCTCCTCGCCGAAACTCTGGATGCCAACGTCGTCGACCACCCTGGAGAGCGAAATCCCGAGCGGCCCGCCGTCGAATGTGGCGCGCTGCGTCGAGCGGTTTTCGCAGGACCAGCTGCAGCATCGCGCTCGCGAGAAAAACACCCAGGCAGCGCGCTCTGCCGAGGGAAAAGTTGGCTCGAACGCCAGACTGGCCAGAAGATAGAGAGAAGCCTCACGGGGGAACCGGCTCGCGGAGCAGCACCGGTGAGGCGATGGTGGCACACCAGCTCGTCAAGAGCCTCCTCGAGCTGCACCAGGATCTGCCCCGGCACCGCCACCTCCCGCGAGCCCACTCCGCCCGCGCCGGCTGCGCCCGAGCGCGTTTGGCAGAGGCATTGCTGCTAGTGCCCCACTCGAGGCCGGCAGAATTCTGGCTCTGCCAGTGGTGGGGCCCCTGCTTTCTCAGTCTGCAAAGTCTGCGGGACAGGCAACGGAGAAGGGCTATGGGACTGAGGCCCCCCCCCGTCCCTTCGGCGAGGAAGAAAACCTTGGCCCATGGCAGGGGCCACTCCAAACGCGCCCCAATTCGGTGGACATCCCCAGCGAGAGCCTCAGGGCCGCGATCCCCAGGGGCAAACGACGCCGAGGGTTGACAACTTCGCATCCTTGGCCCGCGGTTGGCTTGAACGACTGACAAACGCGCTGGAGCCGCTGAGCAGTGGGCCACGGGGGCGGGTCGAGCTGAGTGAGGTCTGGCCATTCGAGCTCTGGGTGAGGCTCGGAGACACGTCGCCACCTTTCACACCCCCTGCGCAGCTGCTCAATCCGTTCGGAAGTGCCGAACGGTGCATTACTTTGAGTTGCGTCGTCGGGGGCCCGCCCTACAGGCGCGCGTGCAAAGTGATAGAGTGCACTGGCGCATTCCTCTTTCGTACGCTTGCCCACCCGAGCCTCCCACTCCCGCTCCTTGTTGCGCTGGCTGGCCCTGGCGAGCTGCTCAGTTGGGCCTGGGGCAGCAGCCTCGAGCGCTGCGACCCCGCCTGAGGTGAGGTTCGGACTTGAGACCAGCTCGGCGAACGCGACCGCGACGGGGCACTTGCGAGGGGGGGCAGCTGAGCGAGTGAGCTTCTGGAGACGGCGATGGCGATGGCAGTCCCTCCAACCTCCTTTGAAACGAAATCTGTCAATCAAGGCTCGGGCGACACTTTTCCGCCATGCAGCCTCTGCACTGAGCGCGGAGACGGGCGCCGAGGGCGCCCGAGGAGGGCGCGCGGTGCAATGCCTGGGGGCCCCTCCTCTCCCCTGGAACGTGGTCGTCTTCTGGTGGGATATCAAAAAGGTTGAACCACTCAGCTCAGCCGCTCATGCGAACGAGCTCAAACCTGCATGGGGTGCCCCAGCTCAGGTGATGGCGCTGGCCAGCTCGCTTCAGGCCGGCTCCTGGAACCCTCGCGCACAACCGATCGGGATCTGGGTTGGGAGCTCGCGCGGCTGCGCGATGGCTCGCGCATCGGGCGATCGCGCCGCGGGAGTTGCAGTCGCAAACGCACGGCCCCGCGCGGGCCGATTCCGACGTCCTCGAGAGTCTCGATCGACGCGCTTCGAGAAAGACAGGGGCCGACAACAAACAAAACAGTGACCCGCTCCGACGAGCGCGCTGCGCCCCTGGACGGCGCAAGCACCACTCCCCCTGGGCCATCTGGCCAGTCTGGCTGCGTGAGCTGCCCTGGCCTGCCAGTCAGCGCTCAACATGAGCGGCAAACCTGACGTCTTAATCTCGCGAGCTGCGCCACAGAGGAGCTTCCAGTTCCTATCGCTGCGCCCCTCTGAGTCGCGGATGTGCAGCACGCCAACGAGGATTCCTCCATTTGGCCCATCGCTGCAATGCCAAAGCGAACACCTGCCTGCGCCGAGAGACTGCTGCACGCCGTGAACTCTGGACAGACTGCACCTGGCTGGCGCCGCGATCGCGACTCCACCTGCGAGGCCACAGCCAGGGAGGAACTCTCCCCAGACGTTCATCTGCCGCTCAAGAGTATGGCTCTGATGCTCGGGGATCTTCGTCTCCTGAGCGAGACGTAGATCTGCTGACTGAATTGCTTGGCTGGTGCGCAATGCTTCGTGACCTGGCTGGCCTGGCTGACTCATGGCGTTCGCTGCGATGACAGTGAGAGGCCTGTTGCCCCAGCGTGTCTGGAACGAGTGTGTCCTGGCGAGGCTTCTTGATGCCTCTGGCGGCTTCGGCCAGCAACTCGACTGGGCGGGCCCTGACGCCGCGATTGAGGGGCCCGTCCATGCCGCCCACATCGTCGTCGGCGCCGACTGCCGCCTGGCCTTGTGCCAGGAGCAAGTCCACGTGGGCGCTGCCCGCTTGATGGCGGCGGCGTCTGCGAGCTGACCATGGACAGCCGGAGCAAGAGGGCCAGCCGCAGCGGCGTCAGCAGTGCGCCCCTCTCGCCAGCGGCGGCGGGGCTGGCAGGCGCCGCGCCCCCTGCGGGCGCGGTGCCGACTTTTGGGGCCGCTGGCGCGGTTGGCGCGGGGACCCTGCCAGCTGCTGCTGCTGCTGCTGCCGACAGGCGGTGCTTGGCCGCGCGCGCGACACGCGCGGCACGCATCCTATCCAGCATTGCCGCCATCTCTGCCGTGAGCGCGGGCATCCCGAGCTCCTCGGCCTTGGCCAGCAGCGCCTGCCGGCGCGACGACTCGCCTGCGGCCTCCTGGCCCTGGAGCTCCGAGAACGCGCGCGGAGCAGCCGCCGCAGCCGCCTTCGCCATATCGCGCAGCTCCTCCAGCTCTGACTCGCACTGCGCGGCCCAGAGGGGGGCCTTTTGGAGATGAGCCTTCGCCTTGTCGCACTTCTTCTCTGACTTCCCGACCTGATCAGCGTAGCGGTCATGCTCTCGCTGAGACGCCCGCGAG